CTTTCTATTTTCAGCTTTGTATAAATCTTGGCAGCCTCCTTTTCCTACGGGAAGCGCTGCCGAAATTTTCCACAAATCTGAAAGAGTTAGTCATTTTTGGGCTTTCAAAAATTATGAAAAGACACTTTTCCTACGGGAAGTGCTGCCGAAATTTCGTAGAAATCGAGGAGTTAGAACAATTTATGCTAGGAGAAACTTGGCAAATCCAGCCTGAATAGGGCCTGAATAGGGGAGATGCTGCCGAATTTCTGAGGAGCTGGGATTAGAAAAGGGGAGCTGAGTTTGAGACTAGTAGAGGAGCTAGGATACGAATTAGAAAATATTCTTCATGTGAGGTAAACGAAGTAGTGGTTCTCTTTGGCCTGTACTGTGATGCAGGTATTTGTGACTCGGTTGAAGGATTGATCTGGCCAGCATAATCCTGTTAAGGATTATATATAATTATAATTAGAATTAAATTATATATATAGATAATACATTCTCAATAATAGACATAAAATAAATACACATAAAATAGAATATTACATCAACATATTGAGTTCAACGTCCCCGGGAAACCTATCTCCCTTTTTCGATTTTCGGAGTTTAGTACCCAGTGGAGGTAAGCGGACTCGAACCGCTGACATCCGCCACGGGGTAAGCAACTACCTCAGTAATTCCTCTCTTCTATTTTACCTAGGAAGTAGCAGATTAGCAATTACTTCCCCCCGAGGATAACAGGTCGGTTGCAGATTCGTCGGTTTACGACTCAACTTTCCTACTACTTCTGTTTCTTAACGTAAGGCCTTGACCCTTGCTGGTTTATTATTTTCTTGGGTTTTCACCCAGATTCTTTATAAATGACCATTTCTTTAAAGACTGAGTATCTTTGTTGTGGAAAGGTGGGGAAAAGGTTGGGCTTGTGTGGGTAAGGCAGGGTGTGAGTTGCAGAAGGCTGAAAAGTTGACCGCTTTAGTGTGTGTGATATCGTTTGAATTCTGTGTGTGATCGCAGGTATGTGTGGAGAAACCTCGATAAAGTTTGGTGATTGGTTGTGAATTGGATTGAGATGGGCAAATCACACAACTGTCGTGAGAGTGAACTACCACACAAACTCTTTGTTTGATTACGATTGGTCTTTTCCTATCCTGATTTTTTTTTTATATAGTCAAAGTAGGCGTATGCTCGGATAACTCTCACAAGGATATGCGACTGCACGCTTACGACTGTTATTTACTCTTCGATTTTATATAGTGGAACGTTGGTCCCAGGTCCTAGGTTCGGGGCTGAAGGGATTACCCTTTGAACAGTTCTGACCTACTTACATCCTTAGGGAAATAGAAGTGCCGCGAAAAGGAGGGACTGACCCCCAGCAACTCGGTCCGTCAGGGCATTCATGTCTTCTTCTACTAGCGTCAAGCGCCCCTTTTCTCTTTCCTTGTTTAATTTGCTTTGGTGGAACGATAAAGTTCTGGGCGGAAGGATTAGCATGTCGTTGGCGATGCGCCAGACAACTCACCACCGCTCCGAATCCCTTCCTGCCTTAGGAACCATCTTACCTCGCACCCTTTGGGACACCTCAGGGTGCTGAAGACGGTAAGGTCCCCAGGCCGGTTTTTGCGCTCGCTAAAGGTTTACCCCCTTTAGCGGACGCTTCAGCCAACGCCTGAGCATCGAAAGCGACCCCATGACTTAAACGAGGCCACTCGGGTATGGGCACTACATGGTGCGCCGACATCACGATTGCTTACGCAAATCCGCATTGTTGGCCGATATGCGTAAGTCCTGTGGTCGCGCGACCTTATGTTAACCCGGCCACGCGACACTTACCGATTTCCACACCTGAAAGTTATGGGTCAAGCGAAAAAGGGCAAAGGCGCGTTATGGCTAGTAGACCCGAGTTTCGATAGCGCGAAACGGCGTGTGGGCGAAATATCAATCTCAGTCAACGTATGGGGGCTCGCGTACGAGCCTCCAACGCCTCGAACAACGGGTTGCCTATGGGTCCAACTTTGGGCACCATCCGCACGCATCTCACGGGTCGGCCTACACCTCCCACTTGAGACTGTTATCAGACTATGAGCTAGACAGAGAGATAAAATAGGGCGATCCTTCCTTTCTATCTGTAGTTGTTTCCTCTTTTAAGTTTTCTTGGTTGGACGTTGTAGTCCGTGGTAGCCGTCAAAGTCAAACCCCTTGATCTTGGCTACCACGACAGTTCAGGAGCTGTCTATTCAACCCCTCTGCACAGGGTGCAGAAGAGGGTGTGGTCTTCAACCGCACATGGCGGTTGTCTGGCGTCGAGAGATTACCCCTCAAAGCGCCTGTCAGCCGACACTTGAGTGTCGAATGCGACCCTCGAGATTATCAAGGGCCGCGAGGCTACGAGTACTACATAGTATCCCATCAGCGCAAGTGCTTGCGTATGCCCGCATGGCTGGTTGATATGAGGAGGCTATGCGCTCGCTCGATACTTATAAAGAAATCCAGCGCGCGATGCCTATCTGAGTCTCACGACATAAAATTATGGGTCGGATACTGAAGGGACTAGGAATATTGTTGTGTTGTGGTGTTGTTTGTAGTGGTTGTTTTGAATGTGTCCATGTGTTATGTGTGGTAAGTGTGAGTGTTGTGGCATAACGCGTGGTGTGTAGGGTGCGTCCTAGTCGACCGACGCCGGGTCGCGCTTGGGACTTCAGCCCCCCCAGTGCGTCGATTCGCGTGCGGGTTCGATTTTTGGGCGTTCGACCGCACGTACCCCCTATGCTATAGCGAGCGAGAAACGCCCTCGACTGGGCCACCTCTGCGATTGCATACGAAAAGCTTTCGCATGTGGTTCAGTAGCTCGGCGGGAATACGCCCACCTAAGGGATGGTGACAGCTCCCGCAGGTGGAGGTAAGCGGTGCCTCGCGTGACCCTGTCCTGTCGTAGGGGCTCGCGAGAGGTACGGCTGGCGCACTCGACCGGAGCGGCACCTCGCTCTCCGCGACGGAAGTCCTGCCAAATCTTGCGTGACGCGGCCGGGAGGGTCCCCTTGCGGGACCGATGCGCTCGACAAGTGGCGCCGTTGCCGAGGAATCTCGGCTGCCTACCGGGGTCCACAGTGAACGAACCCAAGTTAAGAGCAGGCTGATGATCCAGGCAAAACGACAACCCTTAAAGAAGAAGTTTGACGACGATGTGAGTATTGTGCTATCTTCGATGACCTATCAACATTTATTTTTGATTGAGAGTAAGGTTGAGAGTGTGCCTTGTGTGTATTCGTTTCAAATAATAGAGTTGGAATTACGATATAAAGGTCGAATAGACTACCTTAGTTATTAAAAGTATGTTCGATTGAATAATGAAACTAGAGAGTTTAGAGGTTTGACGGCAGGTTGTTTGTCGAAATCGTTTTTTTTCGCAACAGGTTTTGAGAAAGGACAAAGATGCCGGACTCCGATGGAATCGAGTGGGGCCCGGGTGCTACACCTGAGGACTTCGTCAAGGCATTGGAAAAAAAAGAGATGGCACGACTTCAGGTGCCCAATGTTAACATTTTTCACTTCAACGGGGATAGAGTGTCCAAGTGGTTTGAGTTGTTGGAACAATTCACTAGCGAGGCATCAGAAGCAGACAAATTCACACTGATGCCTAGGTACGTATGGTGGGAGCTTAGACCTGAGGTAATGCAAGTAACGGTCGGCGCAAATGGTGAGTGGGCAAGGTTTAAAGAGGAGATGCAGAGGCGTTTCAAGTTAGGGGACGGCCTGCTCAGAGACGGGACGATTTCTCCACGGTAGGGGCCTTTGCCACAGCATTTGAGAAGATGGCAAAGAAAGTCCCAAGGCTGGCAGAAGAAGAACAGTGTGCCACTTTCCTGGGGCACTTCAAGAATTGGGAAGCCTCGTCGCTTACCAAGAAAGCTGCGCCAGGAAAGAAACTGACTTGGGGTGCCATAAAAGAAGGCGTGCTAGAGAGAGAGTTGGACCAGGTAGACATCTTCCAGATGAAATAGGCTAGGAAGAAAAGGAAGACTTTGGATATTATCGCTAGTGATAGGCGCAACTTCAAGCTAATGATAGAAGAGGCTGTGGCCCAGCACGATGCAGAGAAGGAGGCAAGAAAGAAGGCTATGGCGGCACCACAAGCCCAAGGGAAAGGAAAGAAGGTGGTAGTGTTAGAGGAGGAGGAGGAAGAAGAAGAAGAGCCTGAACCACAAAAGTTGACAAAGGCTCAAAGGAAGGCAAGGAACATGACTCAAGGGGGGCAAGGCTTAGGAAAAGGTCAAACCCCGCAGGCTGTAGCGGCGCCACCCCCTGAGTCGCCCAGTCAAGCCGCACCAGCACCGTATGGGTCATGGCCAAGTTGTGGACCTCCCAGTCATTGGCATGGGCACTGTTCATGTGCACCATGGCCAACGGGTGGGCCGCATGGATCATGTGTCGGAGTGCCAATGAGTACGGCTTCCTGTGCGGGACCCCAGTCTCAACAGGTGAGTCACTCAAACCCACCGCCAAACCAACCTCAGCAGTCGGCCCCACAAGGATCACAAGGGAATCAAGGTGGTGGACGAGGACAAAATCAAGGATGTGGCCGAGGGCGAGGAAACAGTGGCCGCGGGAGATATGGGAGAGGAAACGCGAACAGTAACTCCCAGAGAGGAGGAAGTGACGGGTGGAACAATGCGGGGAGTCAGAGTGACCAGCAAGGTGGTGGAGGATATGAAAGAGGAAGGGTAGATTGGAGAAATGCCATCTGTTGGCATTGTGGCCAGAAGGGAGACACAATTAAGTTCTGTCAGGTCCGAAAGAGTGATGAAAAAGATGGCCTGATAAGTTCATGCTATGATGGTGATTTTTTCGACATGTACGGTGAGTACATAGACCCGAGAATCCCAGGGGGATATGGGAAGAAGCTCTGCGCCGTGCTAGTACCCCAGCTCCACCAGCTCCTCCGACCGCTTTCCGTATTTGGCAAGAAGTAGAATACTGTCAGGGCGTAAGGATAGAGGAGATAAGCGAAAGTGAAGCGGTTGAACAGGGATTGAGGGCCGACACCATAAAAAAAGAGCCTATAGTGGTTGAATCCGACGACGACGAGCAAGACGGTGGCCACGGCAGGGCAAGAGATATGATGGAGAGAATGGAGGACCTGGTGGCAAAAATCAGGAGGTACCAGGATAAGCTGACCACTCTTTGTGAGAAGGTCAACAGGTGGAAAGGAGAATTACCATTGGTGTACCTTATCGATTCAGGCCCAGGGGCACAAGGCGGGTCTGGAAACCTGCCCGGAGTGACTGTCACGGCGCCAACTCCTAGGTCTGGGATGACCTTCAGACCGCCGTCAAGAGCAAGAAGGGCAGCTTTGGCAGCACTCACTAGATCGAAGGGAGCGCCCGACTCAAGCCAGCCCACTCAGGATAACCCGGGACCCAGTGGCGAGAAAGAGACGGTAGAGATTCCAGAGGATGAGGAGGACGAGGATGAAAAGTTGAGGAAGGAAGAGGACAAGAAGGCTGAAGAGAGAGCCAAAAAGAGGGGCGCCAAAGCGAGCGCTGATAAAAAGCAGGAGGGGAAAAAAAGAAAGTATAAGGTCAGAATGGAGGAGGGGTTCGACGTGGAAGGAATGGTCGATCGACTCCTTGAAGGCCATAACGACCTAATGAACTTAAAAGAAATCCTCGCCTCCGCTCCGAAATTGAGGGACGAGCTGAAGGCTCGATTGTCCAGAAGAGCAAGTGTGCGCTTGGGGACCATTATCCCCAAGGAAGGTGAGTGGGCTGAGACAGGCACGAAGATGGACTGGAAGTCCGTAGCGTGCGTGTGCATAGAAGTTATGGTAAAGAGTAAGCCGTGCACCGCAATGATAGACACGGGGGCGGAAATGAACCTCATCAAAGAGGAACGTGCGATTCGTCTGGGGATGAAGATCGATCGCTCCGACAATGGGGTCCTCGTGGGGGCAAATAGCTGGTCTGTATTTATAGGGACTGTGTCAAGTGTGGTTGTCGAGATCGGCAGGGTAAAAGTAAGGAGTTACTTCTTTGTAATGCCAGATCTTGATCACCCTGTAATGCCAGATCTTGATCACCCTATTCTGCTGGGCAGATCATTCCTAAGTAGGACTAAGACTCTCATCATTAACAAACATGATGGGACCATGTTCTTGGCACTTTGTGACCCTGTGTGTGGAAATTATGAGGTAATTACATGTAAGAACACAGGGCCACGAAGTATAAGGAATCGACCCAACCCCAACTCTTTTACTATCGAAGAGTCAGAGGMAGAAAGGATGAGGATGGAAGGCAGAGAGTCTGAAGGAGATGATCCGTCAGAGGCTTTGACACTCAGCCTGGCAAACATAGGGGATGCTATGGACATAGTATCCACCTACGGAATGACAGACCCTGTGGCAGTAGAGGCCCTCAGGGAAAAGGTGATGGAGAGGAGAGGTGAAKGTGAGGCAGAACTCGTATATCGAGTGCCTAGGAGGGTAGGTGGAACCGTAGGAGCACACCCCCAAACTGCAACTTGGCCTTTTTTAGGGGTAAGCTCAAGCAGGGTTCACAAAGGCGGTACAAAAGGGTAGATCAGAAGTGCCTGCCCTGTTCCTGTACTCGTCGCTAAGGAGCAAGAAGTTTACTACAAGCGGGAACGAGAGTTGATAAGGCAGATGCGAGAGGATGCACAGAATGGGCCATGTCGTATCACTCCTGAGACAGAAAAGACGCTGATTATAGGGGAGCCCGGCTTCCTTACGGCGCAAGAGGAGAAGCTTATGGTGGAAACCATAAGAGGAAGGCATACTGCTTATGCCTTCCATGATGATGAACGGGGCCATCTGGACATGGATAGAATCCCGATGATTAGGATACATACCGTTCCCCACGAGCCATGAAACTTGCGGGGTGCGCGGTATCCTAATCCTGCTGATGAAGAAAAGGTAGTTAGCTACCTTGATGAAAAAATTCGTACGCACGTATCAGACTACTCAAGTGGACCATATGCATCCCCTTGGTTTTGTTTCGTCAAACCAAACGAGACCTTGAGGTGGGTACAAGATTTGCAGCGCCTGAATGCTGTAACTGTGAGAGATGCAGGTGGTCTCCCTAACGCAGATGCGCTTTCAGAGGCATGCGCAGGAAGAGCCATCATATCTCTCATAGACTTATATTCTGGTTAGGACCAGTTTCCTGTTTACCCCTCTGATAGGCCGATGACGGCGATGCATACCCCTCAAGGATGAATTGATATGAACGTCGCACCACAGGGGTGGACAAATGCGGTTGCCATGGTCCAGCGGCACATGGTGAGGGCAATGCAACCAGTAAGCCCTCACATTACTCAGCCTTACATTGACGATCTGGCCGTAAAGGGCCCTAAGGAGAAGAATGAGCAGGAGGTGATGCCAGGGGTTAAACGTTTTTTCTGGAACCATGTGCAAGATTTGTGCAGGGTCCTAGACTTGCTAAAGGAGCACAACCTTACTGAAAGTGGGTTAAAGTCAAGGCACTGCATGAGCGGGACCACTATCTTGGGGTTTGTGTGCGACGAGAAGGGTCGTCGACCAGATGCTAAGAAAACCAATAAGATTCTCGAATGGCCAACCCCATTCGAGACAATTACGAAGGTAAGAAGTTTCCTCGGAACATGTGGGTTTTGGAGGATCTTCATAAAAGGGTTTGCGGCAAAGACTTAACAATTACGAAAGCTTGTGCGCCAAGGACAAGACTGAGAGTGGGGAGATAAGCAGGAGTTGGTAATAAAGAGCCTAAAGAAGACATTCGAAGAAGGGGGTCTAGTACTGGGAGTACCAGACCACTCGACGGTAATGACCAGGCCTTTTATTGTAGAGACTGATGCAGGGCCAACTACGTTAGGAGGTGTGTTGATTCAGCAAGACCTTAACGGAAAGGAGCGGCCACTAAGATTTGAAAGTCGCACACTTAACACAACTGGGAGAAATTACTCTCAGTTTAAGCGCGAAACCTTGGCGGTTCTCCATTGCTTAAGGATCTTTAGAAACTACCTCTTCGGTAGTAGGTTCGTGTTGAGGGTGAACCCAACTGCTTTAGCCGGTTCTCTCAAGAACTTCGCTCCATCGGATCCAACTATCGCCAGGTGGCTAACGTACATCTGGATGTTCGATTTCGAGTTGGAACGGATTCCTGGGAATAAGAATAGGGCAGATGGGCAGAGTCGAGTTGACTGGGACAAGGGTAACCAAGGAGTGATCGAGGATACTCCGCCAGTCGACGGGTTTCTGGACACTGAGGAGGATGTGAGACTTCACATCAACTCCTGGTCGATGGTCGCGGGTAACTACGTTACTCCTGGGCAACCTGTGTGGCCCTCGCCTCCAGGACATGTACGACGGCCAGACCTAGTCCTTAAGCCTTTCATCGAAGAGGACTCGTGGGGGATGCCAAACGTGCAGTGGATGATGGATCTGACCTTAGCAGAAAAATACAAGTTGCACGAAAACCTACTCACAATGGAAAATGGGGCGCAACAGGTAGAAGGGCACGAGAGGTCGATAAGTGGGATATACCTCTTGGCAAATGCTCTGCTTCAAGACGAGGTGGCGAGGATCGGGGATCAACGGCAAGGTGAGAATGAGAATGTAATCCACGAAGGAGAGGACGACGATTTTGAAGAGGGAGAGATAAAAGAGGCTTTTCGCACGGAGGAGCATGACGGGATATATCTGGAATTAAGAATGCTCCTTTCGTGTGAAATAAGAGAAAGGGATGCGTGCGAGAAAGTCCTCAAGATGCGACCAAACTTCTTGGTAAGGGATGACCATCTATTTATGAGGAGCAGAGGGAAGACTTCTAGAAGGGTAGTATGTGGCATCACTCGTCAGATTGACGTCATAGCTGGCCTACATGATGGAAAGGCAGGTGGCCATAGGAGTAAGGATACAACTTACCTCAAAATACATGAGCTATACTATTGGGATGGCATGGGACGAATGATCAACGATTATTGCAAGTCATGTGTTCCATGTCAGGAACGGTCTTCCATTAGACCTAGGGAGCCGCTTCACCCAAGGTATATACGCGAGGTTGGGGCGGTCATACATTTGGACTTACTGGCAATGCCGCAGAGAGTAGGAGGATATAACTTCATCTTCGATGCACGAGACAACCTCTCAGGTTTTATAGATGGCAGAGCCATACGCACAAAAATTGGTGAGACCTTGGCTCGATGCATTGAGGAGTATTACCTCCGCTATCCTTCTGTCTCCAGATTCGTAATGGACAGAGGGTCCGAATTCACTTGTGCTGAGGTAAAAGAACTGCTGAGAGGGTATGGAGTGATCGCAGAGTATACTATTGCGGCGCACCCTCAAGCTAATGCACCTGTGGAGAGGGGTCATAGTACGATTACGAATCTCCTCGCTAAGTGGAAGAATGGTAGGACAAATCAGTGGCCTAACTTCCTAAGGGTCGCCTTCTACGTGGATAACACCACTGTCAGAAGAAGCATCAACTATGCGCCAACAACGTTGTGGTATGGTAGGCATGCGACCTTCCCTATCGAAAGCTTCCTAAAGACTTGGAGGCGGCAGGACCTCGAGACAAACTTGTCATTTGAGGAACTGCTAGACTTAAGGGCTCGCCAGATTAATGTCATAGAGGACAAAATTGAAAGTGCGGCGAGTAAGGTGGCTGACAGCCGACAGAAGGATAAGTTCAGGTGGGATAAGATGGCAAGGGTAAGGAAGGAGCCTCTCAGGGTGGGCGACGTTGTGCTGCTATATGATTCATCCTTAGAGAAGCAGTGGTTGCGAAAGTTGGACAAGAGGTGGTTAGGGCCATACAGGGTCTCGAGGAGTGGAGAGCATAAGGCATACCAGATTGAAGAGCTGAATGGGACTGCCTGGAAAGATTGGGTGTCAGGCTCGAGGTTGAAGAAGTTTGTCGCTCGAGACGAGGTGAGCATGGGTCCCACAGTTTAGAATCCCTTTCTGTTAAGTATTACTATATATATATATATATATATATATATATATATATATATATATATATATATATGAGAAAATTGTATATGTTTCTCAGTAAAATGATGTGATAGAGTATAGTATTAAGATAGATTTATATACGTGTATTTACACATGTATGTATAGGTAGTTAAGGTAGATATGGAGGGGAATGTCTGTCTCCTGTTTTGTTTGTCGAACCTGCTTACCCTCTGTGTGCTTTTGTCTGTCTCTTCCTTGTTGTGCAGGCTTGACACCAGTTTTGGGGCAGCCATGCCAATAGGGAGGGGAGGGGCAGGGCCAGTGGAAACCCCTATGGGGGTTACAAGACAGGGGATGCAGATGAGGGCCAGGAGAGAGGACAGGCCACCCATTTATACAGGAGACAACGTTGAGCTGTTCATGGTTGGGTTCAGGAGGCACGATCATGAGTTTGGATGGGATAGTTGCAGGATGCTGAGGGAGGTGCGAGGAGCAGGCGAGTGGGCACAACCCCTTACCAACTTCGTTAGGGAGTCATTGACCTGGCAGGATTTTGAGAGGAAGATGGAGGGCTTGCACCCATCGCCACTAGGAAGGGATGGACAACCCATCCGTTTTGATGCCACTAACCTATGGGAATTCCTGAAGGGCTACGACGAGTTTGCAGACAGCATCAACGAGCCACCAAGCCAGGGGGTGAGGGGTTTTATTCTGTTTGTGAGGGAGCACCTCAGACCGTTCATCAGGTCTATTGTAGATCCTGCCCAGAACTGGGGCCATTGCAAGAAATTGCTCTGGAATCACTATACTCCAGCACGTCAGGCTGAGGAGAGGAGGAGTATGAGAAGGAAGAGAAAGGAGCCAGAGACTGCAAAAAAGAGAACCTCTGAGCAGGGCATGACCTCAGGAGCTCAGAGGGATGGCCAAAAGAGAGAGCACAGGTCCCATAGGCAGGAGAGAGGGGAGGACCAGCACCAGCAGAGGAAGGAACGAACTGCAGAGGGGACCCAGAAGGAAGGACCCTCAGGAGGATTAGATATACCTCCTCAGCCTGCTCAGGTACCTGAGACCATTCCTAGGCCAGGCATGCAGCCAGAGGCGTCTCATAGAGCACAGGGTCAGGGACAGGATGAGGATCAGGCTGCAAGGGAAAAGGAACAGGACAGGGAGGAGAGAGAAGCAATAGAAAGAGAGATCAGAGTCCAAATCAGACTCAAAAACATTGCGAAGCTGCACGAGAAGGTTGAGCAGGGAGAGCAGTCTGTGATACTAGAAGATAGAAAGGGGAATGACTCACCTACTCAAGACGATGAGACTCCTCTTTTCACGGAGGCTTGGGACAACTTTGATAAGTTGTTGGAGGCAACAGGGAGGCATAGGGAGCAGCATCAGGAGATGGGGGTTAGGTTGGTCTCTACAAACTTGCTTAGCCTGAAGGGCCTTATGAAAGAGAATTTTGCGGCGGCCAAGACTTCTGATGAAAAAATGGAAAAAAGGTTGACAAGGGTGGCGCGGGCATCTCATGAGCAGAAAATGGACTGGCAGAAAGAAATAGGAAGTCTCAAGAAGGAATTGGAGAGGCAGAACAAGGAGATGGAAGCCATGAAGACTGAGGTGGAGAAAGCCTGGGTAGGCAACGAGGCGATCAGACAGGTCAACCAGACCCTTAACAAGGTCAATGACAATCTGAGGACCTACTTGCAGATACAGCAGAACACCTTTCAAGTAAAGGAGGCGAAGTGGGAAACGAGAATCATGGACCTTGAGGCCAAGTGTGCACAACAGGCACCTACTACAGTGATAGACTGGACAGAGGTCCAGAGGTTTAAGATCAGGAAGCAGCCTGTAGAGGAGGCCTTCAAGTGTCATAAGGTGGAAGAGAGGGCAAACGAACAGAAGGATGAGGAAATCCCCCTGCTAAATAAGGAGATGTTGCAGCCTGAGGAGGCTCTAGCAGGGAGGGAGTCAGAAACTGGGGAGTTTGAGTGGAGGATGCCCACAGTCTTGGCACATGAGGCGAGGCCACCAGCAGAGGATGCGATGGATGAGGCTGCACTTCCCATGACTCAGGAGGAGACTGTGGGGAGACAGGAGGTTCAAGAGAGTGTGGGACAGGCCATGGATGAGGTTGAAGAGAGGGAGGAGCTTGAGGTCTCTCAGAAGACCCCACCACCTCAGGATATGCCTCTGGCTGTAGGTCTAGAGGATGCACTGGGATCTTGGGTCACTGGATCCGGGGCAGAGGAGCGAGTGAGTGAGCAGATGGCACAGACAGATGACAGAGCAGCATGCCCCATTCCTCCAGAGCACCCGCAGCAGGAGGTCACTAGCGAGGCCACAACAGCCCCCTCATCTGTACCCTCCCATGCAGCTGACAAGATGGAGCAGAAAAAGTTTAGAAGATGCTTCTACTGCAAAAGAGGCAAGCACCCACAGGAGACCTGTCCCAAAAGCCTCAAGGATGAGGCCGATGGTTTGTTTTCATGGGATCCATCTGGCGTGCGCAGGGACAGAGATGGGAACCTGATCCTGAAGACTCGTGATGGGATAGGGGCGCAGTTGTATAGGTAACTGCAGGAGGACATGAGTGATCAGGAGTAGGATTTACGAGTAGGGTCCGGAAAAGTCTAAGATTCTGATATGTGTAGAACATCTCTGACTCACTACTGATGGATGACTGTATACAGGAGAACACATGGAGGATTGGATCACTCCCATGTACATCAGTTAATTGAGTCACTACAGAGATGTTTACTTTCGCATATAGACTTTCAGACTTAGTGTGCATAGGATAGTATTGAGTGTGATACTGACTACTTCGGTTTTCCTTTCTCTTTTTTCGTGTGGTGTGGAGTGTTTCTAGGTAGTACTTTTGTGTGAGTTTATGATTCTTTTTCTTCCAGAGCAGGGTGAGTCAGACAGTGTGTCAATGATGTGAGGTGTGGATAATCTGACTCTCTTTTACTTTTTGACTTTCTTGGATATTTTGATTTTTTTTTCAGGTACCTTGATCCTTGGTTGGATACTGTGACACTTGGTACGCTACCCCGGTACTTTGTACGATATTTGATTTCTTTGTGCGATATTTGACTCATTGTACGATATTTTGATCCTTTCGATATGGACAGGAACCTTTGCTTATTTGCAAGGTCCCCGCGTTCTGTGTATTTGTGTGAATTTCAGACTTCTTTCTTTTTTGTGTGGTGCGACACGCTCACTCTCAGTTGTGGACTTGCCCATATGAATGATTATTGTGACGAGAATAAATGTTGTGAAAATGATCTGATCTGCACTATCTTCCTCTGTACTTAGGCATATCTATCATTAGAACAGACAAAGTCATAAGTACAGTAAAAGAGAGTGCACCTCACGTCTGTTTGGAAGAAGGAATGATGTGTTAAATTCAAAAGAGGCATGAGCGATCATAAATGGAAAGATCACAACTAAAGTTGTGTTTTGTGTATGGTTCAAAAGCGAGAGAAGAAAATTCAATGGCCGAGTGGGTTTTTTCTTATATGAAAGTGATATTATGAGAGAGCACTCGAATGAGATGTTATAACGATGAGAAAGTTTTATGTATGTAAGTCTGACGTGGAAAGGCCAAAACATTTGTGAGAATTATGAATGGAAAACTTCTGGCAATTGAGATGGAACTCTGGAAAACATTTGAGAGATGTCCCTAAGACGTGTGACCTCACCTGCCCTGATCAAAGCAAGGGAGACACGACCTTGTGGGTTTATTGAGTGTTGTTGGAATATTAAGAAAGACACTATCCCTCCACGTAGTCCCCTGGACAGCTGGTACGTGATCCTTTGGTTATGATGAAAGTTTTGAGAGAGAATGCCAGACCACAATTAAGTCAGTCTAAGGGACATATTTTGTGAGGCCAGGCTAAGGGGCTATACTTAGCATCACTGGAACTGTAGGACCTAACTCCCAGCGAGGGCCGCTGACCGGCGTAACCTGGCAGCGGGACCATGGCTTACCAATGGTTAAGTCTTGAAGGGTCGGCCACCCGGAGAGGTTTATCTAGAGGGAAAGTCATTGGGGTCGATTAGGTCAAGAGTCGGGGTCCTTCGGGGTGCCAAGATAGATAAAACTGCTTATCGTTGCGCAACCAACGAGGGCACTGCCGCTAATATAACAACGTGGTAGGCCGTAGATCTAGCTCGATCAACCAGACTATGGTGGGCCAAGATGGAGACCTAGAAGCCGCCTGTGTTAGACTTCAGGTTGGGCGTTCATGATGAATGGGTACTTGAGATGGTACTAACTACCATTTTGGGGACTATAGGTGCCCCATATTTGAGAGAGGTCTCGGTTAGGGTCCGCGTCCTAAGTTATGATCCTGCTTGCAGGACGATGACTAAATAGGACACCCAACGGTGAACCGGCAGATGTCTAAGGCAAAGGGGGAGAACTATCAAGCTACTACCTGGGAGCGGGCATTACGCTGTAGTACGGAACAAAGTATCCCCATACTCCGAGGCCACGACGTGGGAGACCCAGGTTAAAACCCTGGCAGTGGATCACCGTGACGGGGGTAGATTGATAGACCTCGAACAGGGTCAAGTCGGCTGATCGGATTGGTTACTTCCTCGTCAGCAAATGTGATTTTGTTAAGTTTATAATTTTGATTATTCGACGCGACGGGGGCGTCGCTTAATAGGGTCCGGAAAACTGTCGGCCCGAACACCCTTACAAGGGTATTTGGGCACATTTCTGCATATCACAGAAAGTGCGTTTTCAACGATATCGGAGAGAGTGTCCCGTTTCCGAGTGACCGCAACTAATACTCGGAAGTTGGGAATGACGCTCTCGCATTTAGATTAGAGAGTGTGTGGGCGTGCTCTTCGTGAAGCACGCGTTAGTTCAACTAGATATTTAATCAGTGCAAACTAGCGAACCAATCGGCGGTCCGAGTTAGAAATAAGTTGGAGTTTGGATGACGCTATGCGAGCCGCAACCTCGGGTATGCTGACGAAGTCACGGTCAGCGCAGAATTTGACCATTGAAGTTACAGTTAGGAGGAAAGTTTTCGTTAACCTACTGAAAAGGTGACATTTTGGGGCCACACTGTGTGGGGTATACAAGTACTAGGTTTGTTTATAAGGGTGTTGGCGGTAGAAGCCGTGGCGAGCTTTGGCTAGGTGAGGCACGAGTTGGGTGAAGCATGAGCGAAGTCGGGGTCTTTCCGACCGAAGGCGATAAAAGCGCCCTCTTTTGACAAATGCAGCGGGCTATGAAAGCCTCGGCCCGAGGCCGCGGCATGGCGGGGAGGTGCGCAGAGCAAGCTGAGCGATAGCCGCCCTCCTAGTAGTGAGCAAGCACATGCAGGGACCATGGACTTGGGTGATGAGCCAATCAGCACGGGACATCTGTTAAGGTTGGAGCAATACCCCAACTGCGGGGGCGGTCACGGGCGTTTGGGCCATGTGTGGGTGACCGAAAATCCGGGGGCTTGTTGCTCCCTAAGTTGTAGTCTTGCGGAGAAACTTCTGCTATAGGTCTGACAACAGTTCCGAGACCTGTAGTAAAACCAAGTGGCTCAGCTCAGTAAGAGCACTCACCACTGCAGGCAGGAACATTCACGTTAGTATCAATACATGAATACGGTAAAATACAAGTAGGGAAGTGCAAGGGTGAAGTCATCCTTGTGAGTGGTGGGAGATCGTGATCCTCGATTCTTGATTTTTTTTAAATTATTAATTATTATTATTATTATTATTATTTTTTCTTTTTTCTGCCGTCGCTTTGAAGATGGTTTTTGCTTGTATGCCTCTTTGCCTAGAGGGATGAACCTGGCGCTGTGTTTGATCAGATTCATCCCACGCTGACTTATGCCTGAAGGCTGCAAGGAGTACTATATGAGGTGAGCCCGATAGCGAGGCACGGGGACGCTGCTGTTTTGAAGACAAGTTGTTGTGGGATTGCATAGTGGCAAGCAGCGTTAAGTGGGGACGTGTGCGTTAGCAGCAGACGAGGCGGACGAAAAGGAAGAAGAAGACGGATGCGACGGGGAAGAGGGAAGAAGGGGATAGAAGACGGTGTAGTTCGCTCATTCCTTGATGGAATGGGGCGAGGTAAAGGTCGTTTTCAGGGTTTTGAGGCCAGGCAAGTTCAATTGAAGCGTTAGTTTTAGTGTTAGAATAGTAGGTAGAGAGTTAGATGAAAAAAGAGGTCCGCGACGGAGTCAAGAGAGGGAAAAAGGTGAGAGTGAAAATCGAAGAATCTTTGTCGTTTCTTGACCATTTTGGGCGCATAAAGATGTTCGTCTGAGGTTTTAGGGCGCTCCGGATCTGATGGCAACGACGAAACTCAGATTTGAGGAATGATTTGACCGGTATGAGCAGTAGGGGCTGCGCCATTGCTATCAGAGGTTGAGTATAGTAATGAATCTTGCCGCATTTTAGCGGAAGATTCATTCTCATTTTGCAGGGTTGGTGAGCAGCGAACAAGATTCCCATCTTCGTCATGTTTGGATAGCCATTGTACTTATGATGATGCCCTTCGTGGTACATAGCATGATCTTCATGTTCGTGATGGCCGGTCTTCGGGGTTTGTGTGAGCATGGTGCTCATCATTGCGTTTACCGCTGGGCTTGCAGTCACCGTGCTGTCCCGGTGCAGCCACTCCGATCCCAGTCACTCGTAGCGAGGTAGTGACCAGCGGGCGAAGTATCTGGCTGTGTTCTAGCGGGAAATCCACCCCTTGCCTCATCGCCATTGAAGCACCTGTGACGGGCGATGCTATTTCTTCATCATCAGTGCGCATGCATGCGGCCAAGGTTTTGGCCAGGTTCATCGGTAGCTTTACAGGAGCACGGGCAAGGCGGGGGTCGAGAAGTAAGCACCAAGAGAAGAGTGGGGCCGAAGGAGAGAAGGGAAATGATACTTACCTGGCCGCACAGTTTGTTTTGGCGTCTATCATTCTCATTCATGGTGGTGGTCGTGGTTGTGGTCTCCATCACCGCGCCATGATCCTCGCCCCCATGTTATCGTGGTACTCGCCTACGTCCAGTTCGCCGCAGTCATCTTCATTGGGCCATCACTATCGTTTTCATTCACGATGCTGCTCTTTGATTGCATTCGCCACAAGTGATCATGCTCGCGATCGCGGTCTGAGTGCAGATGCTCGTAGTGCCCGATGGTTGTAACTACCAGTCGGATTCAACCGTAAGTGCATGCAG